CGCCTAATGTTTCTCTGGACACACTACACTGTCCTAAGGACAAAGCTGTATTGTACATGTACTCAAAATAATGTACAAAATGATTACTAAAATTTTTATCTAGTGCAAACTATAGCATGATTATATTCAAATTAATCACTATCTTATAAGAATTCCAGCAATGTAAATTATATTCTCCCCAGTCACTTCTGTGACATTTTATAAAAAAAAAAAAAAAATTCTAAAGGACATTAATAAACAAATAAATACTTCACTAGACCTTCGGCGCTAACTGTCAAACATGTCACTGCCCCCCCACCCACCTTCCCAGCCAGGGTTGGGTGGTTATAGACTTACAGTTTTTATCTTATATAATATCACAGTCTAAAGGTAGGAAAATATAATTTGCATTGCTGGAATCCTTGCAAGACAGCGAATAATTAAAGATATCATAAATATCACGGCCTATAAGGCGGCGGGGTGCATAAGACGCCCCCCCCAAATTTCCATTTAAAAAGTAGCTTTTGAGCTCTATTTGCTGTATAAGACCAGTACCCCAAATGTGACACTTACCCACTGACTCAGTAGTCCTTTACCAACCATCCTTGATTTTTTTAAATAAGGCCAATTCACTTCAAGTAATGTCATCAAATTATACCCGCTGGTGTAGTGTAAACACTAGTGACGTCACTGAAGCGTGGTGGGAGTGTTCCCTCGTCTCGGTGGTGTGACTATTTATACAACATGTGGTTCAACAGCAACCACCGTATTCTAATTGTGGTGTTTCATTAGGATTTGAGTGAAAAAGGTTACCAGTATGTACTTACTACATACATTTATTACACAAATATATATATATATATATATATATATATATATATATATATATATATATATATATATATATATATATATATATATATATATATATATATATATATATATATATATATATATATATATATACTGAATATACTATGTACAAAAAATGAATGTTCAATGAATTATTTATGGTGCATTAGGGTACTGGTCACTTCAAATGGGCTATAAATAGCTTGTTATCTCCCCTCCATCTCACCCTGAGCCAGACGGAAGGGTCTTGGTAAATAACATGTTTGCTTATTTTCCATTTACTTTAAATAGATTTACCGAATTATTTGTTTTATTTATTTATTTATAATATACTGTAATATATTAAACACACTGTAATTATTTTCTTTAATTTATAAACTGTTTTGCGACAAAGGAATGTTCTCCAGTAGTGTTTCATTAGGATTTGAGTGAAAAAATATTACGTACTTACACAATTGTTCCTCTTACTTTGACAACACAACATACATACAGTATATTATTTCTCAGTTTTGATCTTTTTTTTTAATTTTTGTATTTATTTATAGTTAGTTACTTAAAATAAGGCCAATTCACTTCAAGTAATGGCATCAAATATTACCAGCTGGAGTAGTGTAAACACTAGTGACATCACTTGAGCGTCTGTAATTAACCGTCGATAGTTTCAAGAATTAATGCACTTTTCCTTTCTTGTCTCCTCACTGGCAAATGGGGGGGGGCGTGGGGAGGGGTGTGTGATGATAGCTGTGTTTATTACAGGGGTATAAATCTCTTTTACGGTATGTTAGACAGGTTTATAATACATTTTTATTATTTTAATATACCGGTAATCTTAATTTGAATCCAGCTTGCCAAACGTAAGTTTCAGTATAAAATAATTAGTGGTAAGACCTTGTGAGTGGCTTACGATGTTTTCATCACCACTCTTGACACACTAAACCACAATATTTAAGAGGTAAGAATTTTAAACTTGGTGGTTTAGACGACCCCCTAACTTTGGGCAGATTTTTTTAATGTTCAAATTTCGTCTTATAGGCCGTGATATACGGTATATTTTGCACAGGAGATAAAAATTAATCACATGTATCACATTACAGTAGTGATTTAAGAGTAAGAGCAGGGCCGGCGCTACCCACTAGGCGAACTAGGCGATCGCCTAGGGCGCCAACATCTGGGGGCGCCACAAATTCAGGGCAAACTTGGATAAAATTAAAAATGAAGGGAAAACTGTGGTGGACACTGTGGTGGAGCCGTGGAGGGTCGGAGCAGGATGTTAGAAGGGTGGGGGGTCGGAGGGAGGCGAGGGTAGGTAGACGGTAGCCGACTGTGTTTTCTTTTTTAATATTATTCGTTAACCCCCCGGAGGGACTAACCCGGGTCCTTATCTTTGGCGGCCTGGAGAACTGTCGAGCAGTGACCTGAAGGCTGACATCTGAGGAACCCTTCTCCCAACCCCACCATCCCCTCCCCTCCCTTACTGCCAGGGCGGCTGAGCCGCCCCTTCCCTGTCTTTGTCGGGATGAGGCAAGGTTACCTGACCTCTGAAGTTTACGTCAAGGATTTATTGACTTAATGTAATAACAATAATTGGTTATTTGCATGGGTGAAGTAATAAAGCCACAAGATGAAAACAATGTAGTCATGGGTTACTGTACCTACATTAGCTTATCAAAACTTTCAAGGGGGCGCACATCTAAAGGCTTGCCTAGGGCGCCAAATCATCTTGCACGGGCCCTGAGTAAGAGTTTATATGTACGATACATAGGTAGTTCTGCTATAACGCGATAATTGTGTTCTTGTAAAATATCGTGTTATAGAAAATCGCGTAATAGAAATAACAGGGCTTATGGAGAAAATAGGGTTAGGTGCAGATTACTCGAAATCGAAAAAATTTAGTAGTTAGCCTAACACAAAGGATAGCACAGTCTAAATAAATGTTACATTCATATCTAATAATGAAATCATACAGTAAATTTAACACTTTACCTTGAAAAAATATGAATGTAACTTGATGGGGAGAAGGGTGATTTTGAGGTTGATAACATCAAGCTTCTCTTCAAGTGTTATATCCTTTCTTTTACGATAATCACCGGGAATTCTATCATCAGAATGCTTTTTGGAGATATTCTTCTTTACCATATTCACAGTTAATACCACAAAATTGGAGAAATAGTAAGCAAAAATCGCGTTATAGCAAACAAGCGATCGCGTTATACAAATATTGTTCCGAATTCATAAATCGCGTTAGAGCAAATTAGCGTTATCAAAACACGCGTTATAGAACTCACTGTATATAGTGATTTAAGGGCGATTTAGGGGAATTTTAGGAGTGTTTCTGACTTAATGTGTTTTTTGGCTTTACTTTGTATGAACTTTTCTGTGGGTTGGAACCAATTACCCAATATCCCATTGAAATAATAGATTCAGTTAACGAAATTTTCGGTTAACAAACAACTGTGTGGAACCAATTGTGTTCGTTAATCTAGGGACCACTGTATATATATATATATATATATATGTGTGTGTGTGTGTGTGTGTGTGTGTGTGTGTGTGTGCAAAGAATATACAGTGGACCCTCCATTAACGAGCGGTTCAATCTATGAGATTTCAGTTAACGAGTTAGCTCCCGTAAGGACTTTCAGTTCTATTAACGAGTACCTGTACAAATTCTATAAACAACAGCCTTACGAGAAACACTTTTTGGTGCACGCATCAGCTGATCAACTTGTCCGCCAATAATCGGTTCTCTGTTTAGCTTTGTTTCCAGTGGAGCAAACACAGAGAAAGTTGTGCTCTTGAATATTTTTGCATTTTTACATTAAAATTATTGGTCATTCTGAAATTTAGTTATCATATTGATATAATATACAGTGCAGTGTTGGTTTAAATGAAAAAACCTGGAATTAGTTAAATAAATTGTTGTGAACTTAAAATTTTATTGGTGAAATTATCAAGCATGGGTCGAAAGAAATCTCGGAAGGCGATTTCAATTCAAGTGAAAGAAGAAATTATTAAGAAATACGAAGAAGGCATTTAATGTTTTGTTAATTCTATTACCGGTATACAGCACTTTGTATGTACTTTTTAATTAATTTAAAGGGAATTCTGTGAGTTGGAACCAATTACCCAATATCCCATTGAAATAATAGATTCAGTTAATGAGATTTTCAGTTAACGAGTGACTCTGTGGAACCAATTGTGCTCGTTAATGAAGGGACCACTGTACTGTGCAACACTAAGTGAAAGGTAAAAAATAGTATACAGGTGCTCCTCTACTTAAGAAAGTTCAACTTACAAACTTTCAGAGATACAAACATCATCACTGAAGGGGGTTACCTGCCAAAACAGGTGTTTAATGTGGATGAGACTGGATTATTTTGAGGAAAGTTCTAGTAGATAGAACAAACATTACCTAAGAGGAGAAGAGTAAGCCATGTTTTAAGGCTGTATTAAAGGGTATAGCTGTACTAAATATCCACAATCTTTTCATTTTTTACAATATGTTTGGTATCTACAAGAGTAAAGTTGGACTTACAAACAAGCCTCAGGAACTTAACTCGTTCGTAAGTAGAGGAGCACCTGTATTGTTCTGTACAAATTTTTTTTTTTTTTTTTTACGGGAGTTAGCCCACCTGGGCACAGGTCAAACAATCCACAACGGGGTCTGGGGGCAAAAAAATTGAAACTAGAAAAGAAAAAGGTTATACTGTGTTAATCTACACCACGAAGATGCCGGAAAACCAGCTTTTTAAAGTGAGACAGATTGTATAAGTATGGAAACACAGAAGAAGGCAGAGCATTCCACAGTTTGGCTGTGTGAGGAAAGAAGTAGGTACTATAACGGGTTATTCTCATGCGACCAACATCCACAGAGAAACAGTGGGCATCGCGGGCAAGACGTGTGTTACGAGCACACGGCCTTACCGGCAGTACACAGGATGCCAAATCAACCGAACATTGCCCGTTAAAGTACCTGTAAAAGAGAGTGAAGCAACATTGCGGCGATGAGAAAGGGAAGAGAGATTGTCGACTAAAGGAGGAGAGTTAATAAGACAAAACATTAACAGTTCAGTATTTAACAGATTGAAACTAAAAAGAAAAGGTTAGAGTTAAAGCCAAACACCAAATATAAGGAAACAACAAGCTTTCTCGAGTCTTTACATGATCCCTACCTTCATGGACAGAGTACCACGGATGCTGATGACAATGGAGCGACGGCGATGGTCCAGAGCCACAAAGAAGGGTGTCTCCCCAACATCAACATGATAAGTAACATAGACAAGGTCTAACCCCTCTGAGGGGGCCATTCTCATAAAGGCAGCCACATTACACCCACAGCAGTTGTCCTCCACCACCTCTGGCATCCCTTCACCTGAAGAGCAGCACTGCCAACAGCTGGAATGAGATAATAGTTAAAGGATAGAAGATAATGAGAAACACTAGGAGGGTCTTAATAATTCAACGCACTAAAGAAAAAAAACCTGAGATGGTGGATACAAGGAAGTTCTACAGTGAGAAAATTTCAAGTACTGTACCAGTAGTTGTACAAGTTTCCCTGGTGTGCCTACAGTTAGAATAAGCTAAAGTAATACAGCATCCTCAAGAGATGTAAGACATCCCATGCAATCGAGAATGACCAGGGAAGACCAATAAAATTAATATGCAGGCTAGAAACTTGAGTTCTGAAAACCATCAAAGAAACTGAAGATCCCATCAAAGGTGCACACAGGATGTGTCAGGGTGTGAGAGAGACTTTCATAATGATGTAAGGGAAATATTATGAACAGACTCCTCACCACTGACACCACTTAATGGTCATACTTTTCAGCAGTTCACCAAACTAAGACAAAACAACAAGGCAGGCAATCATGTCTCCAGAGGTGATGCCCTCTGAGAAAAGATTGAACAACCTCTGGGCAGGTCAAGATGTCATGTTTGACTACAGAACTTGGAATAGTTGTAGAAGTACTATAGCCCTGGCATGGGCAACCTGTCCTCACTCAAGGCCGCATTATGATTTAGGTATTTTTCTGAGGGTCAACCCATCAAAATTTATATCCTATCTAACCAAAAAGTAATATTAATACAGTATTGTATTAGCATTGACAGTGAAAAAAGTTTACCCTCAAGTCCACCTAAAGATATTTTCAGTTTACAATCACAGTCTTTTTCCCATTTATGAAACAAATCCATCATAATATTTTTTAAATAAAAGGTTAATGGTTCTTGGCATTTAACAGAAGATGAATGAAACAGTCTGTGAATACGTTGATTTTTCCTAGTTACAGCATTTGTCTTCCTTTGAGACACCCACCAGAATAATGCCAATATTAATCTTGGCACATGAGGAGGAACTACAATGAAACAACCTATAAGAACATCAAAAAGGGGGAGGGGGGGGGGCGGTAGTCCAAGAAGTTGTGGGTGGGAGGAGATGGCAAGCAAAGTGAGCCCACCCAGCTGGTGGGTCTTGGAGGGGGGGGTCACACAGCCCCAGATTTTTTTTTTAAATTTGAACAATATCATGGGCATTTTTAGACCATTTTGAAGCCATGTGCAATTGATATTAGGAAATATTCTAAGGTCAAGAGTAATTACTTTTTACAATACAGTGGGGTATGCTATAACGAATCTAATTGGTTCTAGAACCTTGTTCGTTATAGCATTCGTTTGTTATAGGATTAATCCGTTCCAGGCCCCCAAATACAACCACTTAACACTGAAAAATATAATATAAAATTGTAAAAATTGTAAAAAAGTGCATAAATATGCATCTAAACCCCTGAAATAAAGAATATCATTAATATTTGTAATAATAAAACAATAAATTAGAAAAAAAAAAAAAAATTAAATTATGTTCGTTGTAGGAGTTTCGTTCGTTATAGCATTCTCAATTTTATAGGTAAAACCGTTCGTTATAGGAATATTCGTAGTAGGATCCGTTCGTTATAGCATACCCCACTGTACCTGTACAAAAATGCCTGAATACAATACTGCATTAAAGCAAATATATTAGAATTTTCTGATGAAAGGGGTGGATCTGGACCCCATAGGTCCCCCCTGGACAGCCAGGCATGAAGGATGAGGTACTATGGAGAGAGAGTCTGTCAACAAGGAAGAGACTTTACCTTTGACACGTGTGACCACCGAACGTGACCCCACTTGGATTTGCCCATCTTTAGTTAATTCCTAAGTGACCCACTGCTACAACGCGGCTAATCCATCAAACAGACCATATCGACCTTGGCCCGTAAACTCACACAAGTTAAAATGCTTATATTGTTGACTATTTATACTTGTTTCACTGTTACATTTTCGGAGTTACTTACTCTTAGGTGATGAAACAGTAATGAATTGTGCGTGAAGATTATTCTTTTAATAAATATTGCTTTGCTCATAATAAGCTGGCTGCACCTACCTGAACTGTGGGCCACATTAAATAGAATTTCTCAATCACTCCACGGGCCACACAAAGACATGGTTAGGGCCGCAAGTGGCCCACGAGCCGCGAGTTGCCCATGCCTGCTATAGCTCATCCATTATGGTATCAATGAATTTTGTAGACAGAGATGAAGAGCTGGATATACTGTATAATTTAGAGCCTTTGTCCAGAATTATAGTAACTACATAAGTTTGTAAAGTATCTAAACTTATACCTTTTCTTGACTCTGCTTAGATTCATACCTGCACACATTAAAATTGGAGGAACTCTGGATTTGCTCTGTGTCTGCCATGGTGGCCATTTTCACAAACTAGCCACCACGGAAATTCTCCCATGATGAAAGTAAATGAAAAAATTACTCTTAACAATACAGTACTGCACAGTATTTCATTGTCATTTTAATGATACCTAACCCCCTCCCCCCTAAATTGACTCCAAGGATTATGAAATAAAATAAGAATTTAATTTAGATGACTCTTGTGAACTCTTCAGGTCATTTCAAGGTTGAAAACATGAACATGGGAGATGAAGACTTACATTTGTTTTTAGAATAACATGAGATTTATTTGGTTATTCTTACCATTTAGATACAGTACCTGGTACAGTACTACCATAAGACAGTTTGTGTAATTCATAAAGTATCACTTTTTACACAATACAGTACATTAGTAAGTCCTCAGTACAGTGACCCCTCCGTTAACGAACCCAATCCGTTCCAGAAGGTCGTTCGTTAACCGAAACCATTGTTTCAATGGGTTTTTGGGTAATTGGTTCCAGCTCACCGAAAATTTCCTAAATTCAACAAAAATGGTAAAAAAGTTCACTTACTTTGAGGTGTGTATGTAGAAGGCTCCTAGATGATGATGATGATGGGATTTAGAATGGGGGTGGAGGAGAAGAAAGAAGAGAAGGCATTGGGGTGGATGAGAAGTCACCCCATGGGTCCATTTCACCCATAAAATTTTAGCTCTCTGGTGTAATTCAAGATTATTTTCTTTAAATCAACACTGCACTGCATTATATATTGTCAATATGTAAAATATATTTCAAAATGACCAATAATTTGCTTGGAAATACAGAAAAAAGCATTTAGTTGAAGAGAGTCTCAAGCAAGATGTTACCTCCAGTGAAAACAGAGAGACTAACTCCTGTTTGCTGTGTTAAGAGGCTGGATGCCGCGCATTAAACTAGTCACTTTACCTTCAATTATGTTCAATAATTGTTAAAATGACTAAAAAATTGAATATTAAACTTTTAAAATTATTGAATAGTATAAACTTATTGATATTTACGAAAATAGTAAGGAATTTAAGCCCTAGAACCGATTAATGTATTGGCGGACTGATACTAAAGCTGGTTGCCCGGTCAGTGCAAGCAAAAACATGTTGAGGTCGGTTCGTAAGAACTTCGTTAACCGAATTTTTTTTCGTTAACCGAATTGAAGATCCTTATGGAAGGCAGTTCGTTAATCGAAATTACGTTAACCGAGGTGTTCGTTAAACGAGGGGTCACTGTATATGCGAGTTCAGTATATGCGAATTCACTCATTTGGGAGAGCCCTATTCCTACCAGGAATTCAATTTATGCGAGAAAGATTTGCCCTTATGCGAGTCACCACCGTGTCTCGTGTTTTGTCGATTACTGTTGGGCGTTGTGCCGCTTGTGTGTTGCTTCCTGCCACAATGAGCACAGTCTCCCACTAGCCCACGTTCCATGTGGACTACCGCTCTCTATCACTCCTGAGGATTCTTTCGCGATTTGGTGTTTTTTGCAACCGTTATCCATATTTCTCTAGTAATATGGCTTCCAAGCATCCTGCATTGTCTTCTCCTAGCCCCTGTCCACCCATGAAGAGGAAGAGAACAGCCATAACACTACAACTGAAGTTATAAATTTTGAATCGCTGTGAGGCGAGTGAGGGAGCATCTGCGCTTGGCCGTTACTACAACCTGGGTGAATCCATGATTCAAAATATTAAGAATGCAGACAAGATACAAGGCACTGTTCAGCATGCAACACCTCTTTCTGTCAAAATAACAAAGGTGGTTAATTCAGAGATTGAGAAGATGGAGAAGATGCTCTCAATGTTCATTGAGCATGTAAATAAGAAAAAAAGCGGGCTTAGCAACACTGTAAATAGGGCTCAGGCTCTGAAAATCTTATAATGTGAGGGATGCTATTAACAACATTGTGGCAGATTGGGTCGATGTGAAATCATCTACCATGAGAAGTGTTTGGAAAGCCATGTGGAAGACTGTGTTTGTGATTTTAAGGGCTTCCCTAAGACTTCAACAATAGTGCGTCAGGTCGTGGAGATGGCTTTGTTGACCTTGATGACGATGTTATGGAACTGATTGTTTCTCATGATGAAGAACTGAGTGTGGATGACCTTTTAGACATGACTGATCAAGAAATGGAAGAGTAGGAGGTGGAGGAGGTTTCCCTAGAAATCAAAGACATGTCAATGACGAGGGTGGCAATCTTATTTTAAAATGCTGAAAAACTTGCAAGAAGCAATAGACATGGACATCAGTTTGGACAGAAGCCTGCAGTTTAAATGTGGATGAGTAGATATTCTTGCAGCCAACAAGGAGGTTTATGCAGAAAAGCAACAAAGAAGAAAACAGACCACAATGCTGCAATTCATAAGGCCTTCCACCTCCACTCCCATTCCACCTGCCTCTCCTAAACCTTCCACCCCCATCCATGACCCTGCTGCCTACCCAGGATCCTCATCCTCTAGAACACCCTCACCACTGGTGTTGTCTGATGAGGCTGATGAGGACAGCCCTCTTGATGTCAGCCTCTGTAATGTCAGCTCACTTGATGTCACACTCCCTGATATGGAATCCACCTCTGATGACCCTGCAGATGTCACTCCAACACCATCACCCACTAAGTAAAACCTGTACCACCACTTGCATCATCTTGTCTAACCAAGCTTTTAC